GTAGGAGCTGGTGCTGAAATGGATTTGGAGAGTTCAGGGAAGGGAGGAGTCATGGGAGAATTCCTGTATTTGACATAAGCACTGGCATGGATATTGCTGCTATTTGGGGGGGATGGCTTGGGGAAGAAATGTTAAGGGGCAGGTGGATCTGGGAACCCAAGAGCTTTGCTGTGGACATGGTATATTTAGGCAGATTGGTCCAAGGGCAAATGTCCAGTAGGAGAATCTGAATGCTGGATGAGGTCTGAATTTAGTTATAAGGATAAAGATGGACTTGGAAGTTATAGGAGTGCGAACACTCAGAGGAAGTGTGTAGGAGGGAAGCGTGCCCATGACTTCACCCTGAGAAATTCTATCATTGAGAGGTTAAGCAGAAGGGAGGATCTTGAAAGGGAAACTGAGGAGAGCTGGTCAGTGAACAGGAAGAGAACCAAGAGAAATATGGCCATGGACCCAAGGGAGAAGGGCATTTCAAGGGGTAGGGAGCAAACAAGCCTACCAGTGAGAGGTCAGAGAAGAGGCCAGGACTGTCTGTTCTTGTTCTAGGCAAATGGGCAAAGACCTGCTTTTGATGTGGAGATGGGGTTCTAATGAGCTAACATTTCCTTAGGGGCGATGGTAAAATATTAAGCAACCTGGATTGCTTTTGGGGAAAATGTGGCTTAGCTAAAGAGAGGAGAAGACTGAGGACCAGCCTGGGTCAGGTACCCACCTGACCTGTGGCCTGTGTTTGATCTTGGTAGTTTGAGAAATGGGGCTCCAAAACCAAAAAGACCCCTTTCATTAGAAAGTCACTCAGGGCATAAGCAGCCTGTCATAGGGGTTTAGGGCAAAGCAGGACATGGATTTGAAGGAGGGCTATGACCTCAACTCTGCCTAAACTCAGCACCCCCACCATTACTGCAAATGGTAAACGGGAGACTTTAAAAAGAAATAGTATATATATACTTATAAATATTACATGTTATTTATGTATTTATTATAAATATTATATATAAATTATATAAAGTAATATATAAATTTTCTATATATATTTTGAACTTGATATAAATGAAATCATACAATATACAAAAAAATTTTGTGTCAGATTTTGTTCAAGGTAGTGTCTGTAAGATTCACCCATGTGTGTGGCATTCCATTTTATGAATAAACCATAATTTATGCATTCTCCTATTAATGGACTTTTAGATTGTTCTCAGTTCAGGGATATTATGAAAAAAGTGGCCATGAACATTTTATTTGTATGTTTTGGTGGATCCATTATATTTTGAGGTTTTTTTTTTTTTTTTTTTTTTTTGCTGGTGCCAAAAAAATCTGATTTTTTTATGCTTATTTACTATTTGGCTGTCTTACTAAATTCTAATAGCTTTTCAGTTCATTTTTCTTGGAACATATTTTTTATCAGCTAGAGCTTTTTACCTCAGGTAACAGAAAACCTAATCCAAATTGGACGAAGGCTCAAAGAGTATATATTGGCCCCTATAACTGCAGAGTTCAATGTGAACTTTAGGCAAGGTGTGATCCAGAGGGCAGTGTGTCATCAGGGCCCATCTCCATTTCTCTAGGTTCCTCTTAGCTCTGCTCTCCTTCATATGCCACCTTTGTCTTCATCTTGGCTCCTCCTTATTGTGACAACAATCTCTACAGAAGTTTCAGAACTCAAGTCCTCACCACACCAGCCAGAGGAAGAGCATGCTCTTTGAGGAACACCCATAAAGAGCAAGGAGGCTTCTTTCCCCAAGTCCCTGGTCAATATTGCCTCATATCTCATTGGTCCTAATCTTGAGCCAATCATATTTTGTGATCAAGAGGATAGTAGGCCCTGATTGGCTTAACCTACCATTCCTATCATGAAGGGAGGCATCAATCTCACCAAACCACATGGCTGCCACACAAAGGGGCAGCAGTGGGTTCCCAAAAGGAATATCTGGGGACTTTTGATCTAAATGGATGCTAGGGAAGCAACCACAAAATGTTTAATATGGTATTTAGAATGTTATTCCGACAGTAATATTTTTAAAGTTCTGTCACCTGTCTCAAAATGTCGGCTATGCATAGGGTCTTTTAAATTTATGTGGAATGATGAAAATGATTTTGAGCTTTTTGAGAAGCTTTGGAAAAAAATGTTTATAGAAATTAAGGGGCAGAGAGAAGGACTAAGAAGCAAATGCTTCTTAACATTTCCTCTGTGATGCGTAAACACCTGAGATCTGATGGCTAAGGATCTAGCCGCAAACAGATCAACCCAAAAGATGGTTGTTGGTTGAGATGGACTTGGCAGTGTGGGAAAGCATATCAGTTTTCTATCGTTGTACAATAAATTTCCAAAAATGTAATGGCTTAAAACTACACAAATATATTATCTTGCAGTTTTTGTAGGTCAGAAGTCGGGGCACAGGTTAGCTGTGTTCTCTGCTTGGGGTCTCACAGGTCTGAAGTCAAGGTGTTGGCCAGGCTGCCTTCTCGTCTGGCACTCAGGGTCCTCTTCCAAGCCTGCTGAGGTTGTTGGCAGTATTCAGTTACTTGTGGTTGTAGGACTGAAGTCCCCATCTTCTTGAGTGACCTGGCTGTCAGCTGAGGTCACTTTCAGCATCTAGAGTCTGCCTTCCAGCTGCATAGTCTTCTTGTAACATGTCAGCTTATTTCTTCAAGGCCAGTAGATGACGCTTTCTCTAGTCTGTTATGATGAAATTTTTTTTTAAAGATTTTATTTATTTATTTGAGAGAGAGAAAGTGAGAGTGAGAGAAAGCACGAGTGAGGGGTAGAGAGAGAGAGAGAGAAGCAGAGTCCCCGCTGAGCAGGGAGCTCAATGCGGCATTCGATCCCAGGACCCTGGGATCATGACTTGAGCTGAAGGCAGACGCTTAACCAACTGAGCCACCCAGGCGTCCCTCACCCAGGAAATTTCTATTCATCCATCACTCCCTACCTTTTTTTTTTTTTTCCAGACAGGAGGTCAGGAGCATGCTTGAACAGCATTGTTGTTGAGAAGCCCTTGTGTTGCTCTTGTTGGACTGGGTAGGGAGGACCTGCAGGCTGACAAGTGCAGGCCAGGCTCCATTCCACATCTGCTTTGAACATCCATGGAAGAAAATTTGGCAGCACTCAGAGGCAGTGTGCAAATAAACATTTGTTTTTGAATGAATGGTCTGAGTGCTTATCTTCTATTAACTCATTTAAGCCTCATAACAACCCAATGAGATATTTATGGTTATTGTCCCATTTTATAGAGGAGAAAACAAAGACACAGAAGGCTTAGGAGTGGAGCTAGTGTTCAAACCCAGCACATACCCTTACACCTTCCTACAGTACTGACAGTATCAGTGTCTGCTCCACAGCATGGAATTAAGTGAGCTATGCATGTCAAATGTTCAGTGCCTGCTATATGGTAAATTTGCAAAGCATGAGACTTATTTTTATTACCTGTGCCAAAGAAGCTTCTGCTTTCCTATTCTTTGGAAGGGGAGGTAGAAAGAAAATAAAAATAACAGAACAACCCACCCCACCTCCCAAAAGACCGTCACCCTTATTTGGCTGCCCTACTTCCCTATTTGAAGGAGCCAAGGCTCACTTCCATTGTTTGGAGGAGCAGACTACAGAGAGGGGTGGGACACAAGAGCAGACTGACATCTGCAAATTTTGGGTTCTAGGTCATGGGGAGGAAGAGAAGTATTAGATGGGCTGGTCGCCGAGCCTCCTTAACCAGCATATGTAAGTGCCACACAGGCAATGTTCAGTAATAGTAGTCCTTTCTCCATCCTTTCCTTTTTGAGCTACATTTAGTTAATGGCATGCCTTACAGACTTAAAGATTATTCTTCATAGGAGAATTTTTTGCTTGAGTCAGTACACTTGACTACTGTCTCCAGGAAAACGTGGTGGGAGTTTTCAGTGAAGTTTCGGTTAATTTAAGCTCCAGTGAGAAGTAAGAGTGATCATGGTTAGAAGGCAGCTTCCTTTTAGCTGAGTGACCTTGGGCAAGTGACTTAGTATCTCTGAGCTTCAGTTTCCTTATCCGAAGACTGGAAATAGTAGTGGTATGTAGATAAAGGCTTATGAAATGCTTGATCTAGTTCTGGCACATAATAAATAATTCCAAAAATATTACCCATTTTCATCTCATTTAACCCTCAAAACAACCTTATGAAATAGGGATGATGATTATGATTATTGCCCATATTTTACAGGTGAGGCCCTGAGTCTCAGACAGCTTCTGTGTTCCCCTTGACACTGTGGCACTTGGCCATGGTTATTGATTATCTGTCAGGTTCTTTTTTTCTTTCACTTTGCCTACACAGTGGGATGGAGTTCCATAAATGTCTTGGCAGGTTGACAGCATATCTTGATAAGATATTAACCACCTCTGCAAAATATTCAGACTTTAGAAAAACAAGATGATACAAGAGATTCAAAGACCTTTATGTTTTTCTCGGTGCAAGTGCCTAAGTCAAATTGGAATCAAGTGTATATATAAAGGTTGAGCTACAAGATGTTCATCATAACTTGTTTACATAACCCAAACTGTGGAAACAACTTAAATGTTCAACAATAGAGACTCATCGGATTCATTGTAGTATATGCATACGGTGAAATATTATGCTTCATCAAAAGGCAAAATACAATTGTGTATTTGTCTACATAAATATATGTTAATATATTGTTGTATGTTTAAAGTAGGTTATAATTCATGAAGTATGAATCTGTCACATAAAAAGAAAATATATGTTTATATAAATAGCACACATATATCTAATATATGCGTATGTATGCATATAAAAACATCTGGAAAGGTGCGAACCAAATTGTCACTTATGGTTGTCTCTGTTGGCATGGGGAAGTATGGGTAATTTGAATTTTCTACTTTCTTGTATGTTTGAGAAGGAAGTTCTTTATCTTCTGATCTTTATGCAATGTATAAAAATTCTAGCTACTGAGAAAAAGAAAAGAAAAAAGAAGCAGTTCAAGTCTCCAGTTGTGCTAACCCTCGTTGAACATTTCAGGTGATTGTGAAGACAAGAACAGAATATCAGCCTGAACAGAAGAACAAAGGGAAGTTTCGGGTGCCGAAAATCGCCGAATTTACGGTCAGTTTCTTTACACAAATTGTAAAGCTAAGGCTGGCTTCAGCCAGCTCAAGACTCCCCACGCTAGTAAAGCAGGTGCTACTGGGGAGTGGGAAATGATAGAGGCTATTTTGGAGGATTTCCTGAGGCCACACTATCTGGCTCACTGAGTCTAATGAAATAACAAAAGCTCTGCCTCTGGAGGACTATTTATGCTCTCTTCTGCTCTGGAATGCTCAGATAATTTGATAATTGATGAATGTGCCTCCTTTCTTCTTTTTCCCCCTGTCCCCATCTCTCTACCTTTCCATCACAATCTCCAGGAAATATGATGGAAATGTATATATATATAAAAAAAAAACCCTCAGATTTTAGTCAGTGGATGGTTGTAACAAAATACAAAAAAGACGAAGGGGAAAAAAACCCTGACTTCTTAGTGGAAAAAACCCAAATGGTTGACCTTCTATTTCTTGGTGAGCGGTCACTAGGAGGGCTGGTAAATATATATCACTGTGATGAAGGAGTCATGAAGCATGCTCTGCAAGGACGAAGGGAGGAACTTGAGGGAAGTGCCCTGGAGAAGTCACTTAGGAAGCTGAGAAGAGCACAACTTGTGTAAAGACCCTGAAGCTGGTCCCAACTCTGAATAAGAATACGGGCAGTGAGGCTAGGCTCTTAGAAGGGGGCAGGGAGCAGGCAGATATGAGACAGGAGAAGTGGGCAGAAAGCAGACAATTCTAGGCTGTGTAGACTCTATGGAGGAGTTTGGATTTTATGCTAGAAGCATAAGGGAAGCCTCGGAAGGACTTCAAGAAGGGAAGAGACACGATTTAATTGAGTTTTAAATAAAGTCCACTGGCTTTTATGTGGCCAGTGGACTGTAGCGGGAAAGAGGGAATGTTTGGAGACTATTAGGCTACTGCAATCGTCCAAGTAGAAAGAGACAGTGGCTCCAACAAGAATGGTGAGCAGATGGAGAGACATGGACAGACTTAAAAGATCTTTAGGAGGCAAAATCAGCCATGATTTAACTAGAACAAAGTGGTTCTCTAGATGGATATTGGAGCAGTCTGGCTGGGTATGAGCCCTGTTTCCACTTTATACCAGGCCAAGTGGCCGCGGCAAGTCCGCAAACCTCATGTATCAGATGGAGGTAATAGTAGGGTCACTGTGAGGGTCAAGTGCAGAAGACATGCAGAGCACTACGATCTGTACATGACAAATACAAAAGAACAGTAGCTCTTCAGTGTCAGCTGTGACTGGGGGCTTTGAAAGTGAAAACAGCCCTTGGTTGGAGTGTGTACATGGATAAACGTGTTGGTCTGTTCCCGTCCCTCCCTATCTCCCTGTTAAATCTGGGTTAGAGCCGCTGGGTGTGTGAGCCTGAGAGGGTGTGCGGCCCCTCTGTATGCATCCCTTGGAGTGTGGGAGCTCCCTGGATGCTGATGCCCTCTTTGAGGGCAGGGGCTGCTCGTATTTTTGGCAGTAACTTCAGTGTCTGGCTCACAGTGTAGGCCCCGTGAATATGGACCTGGCCTGAACTGCATGCCCACAAGAATGAGCCTGATCAGAGCTTCAAGGGGAAGGTGAGGGTACCTTGGTGCATAAAGTATATGCACAGGGCCAGAGAGTAAGCTGACCTGTTCTCCTGGCAGCGGAGACAATTAGAAATATGCCCAGATTCACGTGCAAGAACTTTTACTGCAATGTTATTTAGAACATCAAAGTATTGGAAATAATGCTACATTTTCAACAACTTCCTCATGATTCTGTAAATAAGACCACAGTCATACGATGGATTATTTTAGCAGTTTCTCAGGGTTCCCTTTCTCTCAGAAAGTATTTCATTTACTCAGAATTATGGGCTTCTGCAATATTTTCATCTCTTTTTACTTTCCCGTGCTTTCCAAATTTGATATGAGCATGCATGATTTTGATAATCAGAAAAAAAGTAGGATTATTAATTTCTTTTTTTTTTTTTTTTTACCAAATAGAGTGTTACAAGCTTCTGATGGAATTATTCCTTATTTATCAGTCGCTTTACAATGATGATTATGAAGACACACAATAATCTGGGCAAATACTTCAGTGTTACAAGCTTCTGATGGAATTATTCCTTATTTATCAGTTGCTTTACAATGATAGCTATGAAGACACAATAATTTGGGCAAATACTTCAGAGGGAAAGTTGAGTGAAGAAAGCAAGGATTCAAATTGTGTGTTTTCCAGGATTGGAACTATGCAAAAACCCACAAGTAAACAGGGAAAAAGACATGGCAAGAATGTATCAGTATATGCCCTCTGTGGCCATGTTACAGCGGTGATGTTGGATGATTTTTTCCTCTTCTTTGACCACTTTTGGTGATGTTGCTATTTAATCGTATTTACTGCCCACAAGCCCCTGAGAGACTGATGTAATCCTCCATTTCTCGAAGGGGAGCCATGGCTCGGAGCAGTGACGTGATCTGCTCCTCTAGCCAGCAAGTAGCAGGGCCGGGGCTCAGAGCTGAGCCAGAGCGACTTTTCTGTTCAGCCACGCCACCTGTCGTGGTGGGTCATTCCCCATTCGAGCAGAACAGAAGTGAGTCAACGAAGAGAAAAGGAGGGGCTCAGTCAGGGTCTGGGGCTGCAGAAGCTCCCCCAGGCAGCTTGACTCGATTAGTCCTGGGGGTCAAGAAGGAAGGGTGTTGGGTTTGGGGGCAGCAGTCCTTTGTCAGCACGGGTGTCAGGGGTGGGCAGAGGACCCTGCCACTAGGAACAAAATGGGAGGAATGGAGGAAATCCGTTTGTTTATGTAAAGTTGTGAGCATTCATTAGCCTTTTTTTGCTTTCTTAAAGAGAGCTGCCTCTGGGTTGTGTGGAGGATATATCTGTTGCGGTGAGGGTGGCTTGAGGACCTGGGAGGAGGCTTTGTGGGAGAGTCTGAGGGTCTGAGCTATTGGCTGCAACAAGGCTTGGGGCCCAGGTGGTCTGTTTTGAAGATAGAATTTATAGGACTTGTTCCTGGTGGGAAAAGGGGGACTCCTTGGTGTTTGGCTTGGCTGGCTGGGCAGGAGGACTCTGTCCACTGAAGGAGAAACTGGGGGACCTAGGTTGGGGGCATGCATTGAGTGAGAGGTGCCTGGAGCATATGGGCCATGAATGGTGGTCTGGTCACCCTTGTATGTAAATGGCCTGGGGCTCAGGATGGAGCTCTGTGCTGGAGAACCAAGGCTGGAAGTCAGAATTCCCAGTTAGTCTTAGAGAGTGTGGTGCTGGTAAACAGTGGCTGGGCTACTTCCCAGGGATATTGCTCGTGGAGGAGGTAACCATGGGGATGGCAACGATGCATCTGTCCCTTATTCCAATACCCTCACAGAGGTGGAAAGGCTTATGACTTCACATTTCAGAGCTGATCTAGACAGAGCGGCTCAAAGCCACATAAGAGAGAATGAGAGGAGAGAGTGGCGGGGCAATGAAGTGAGAAAGCCTGGCTGAAAGAATTGCCTGGACTTTTTGTCTTTTCTAAAACCAAGAAAGCTCTTGTGAGAGGTCACAGACTTGAGAAAGTGTTCAGCAGACTATTTAAGAAAACAGTAGCATGCAGAGAGGAGCCCCTCCTTCTTTCTTAGTCTTGGGAGCTGAGTGTTCCTCTAAAGCTCATTTTGCCATGGAAGGCGCTGTGCAGGGTGCTGTTCTGTGCAGGGTGCTGGTCTGTGCAAGGTGCTGTTCTGTGCAGGGTGCTGGTCTGTGCAGGGTGCTGGTCGGTGCAGGGTGCTGGTCTGTGCAGGGTGCTGGTCGGTGCAGGGTGCTGGTCGGTGCAGGATGCTGGTCGGTGCAGGGTGCTGTTGTATCCGGCCATGCTGTCAGACCTGGTTGTCCCCCAAGCTGGTGTGAGAAGGAACTGAATTTTTCATTTGGAGGCCACTGTGTTAGGTTGATGAGAGGTTGTTCTAGGGCCTCGGGGCTAGAATGACCTGGGAAGCTGAGATCACATCTCTGTCACCTCTTAGCTCCATGACCTTGGGAAAGTCCCTTCACCTTTCTGAGCTCCTGATTCCTCATCAATAAACCAAGACACACTGTGGACATAACAAATAGTGTAAGTCCTTGGCACACTTTAGATCTTAATGAATGATCATCTTATTTCTTTCCTGTTCAGATCCCCTTTCTTCCTCCTGGGTTCTTAGTTTCCTGCCTAATTAGCCAGCTTTTGTCTGTTGGTTGAGACAAAACTGGGCCTACCTTTCTGGCTTTCCCCTTTGGGAACATGGCTGGGGAAACATGCAGAATTGTTCAAGGGTGGCCAGTTCAATGTCAGGATTCATGGGCAGCCCCTGGCTGCCTACCGTGACCTCTTTGCCTACTGGGGAGTGTAGGCAATTTTTTTTTGTAGGCTATTTCTCAACACATTGGTTATAACATGAATAATCCCGGTATCTATTAAAAAACGCTTTTAATCTACTTTCCAGCCTAACAACAACAATGCTTATTGTTATCCCCATTTTACAGATGAGGAACTTGATGCTCAGAGAAGTGAGGTGGCTTCGAAGGTCATTCAGCCCGGAAGTGTTAGAACAAGATAGGAACCCAGCTATAGCTCTCTCTGCCACACCTCCATGCCACCTTGCCATTGCCCGTGCCCATTCTGTGGCTGGCTTGCCTTCTTTCCTTCCTTTTTCCCCTCTTTCTTTTTTGTCTTTATTAATATTTTTTCTGGGCTGGTCCAAATGCTTGTTGCTGGGAGACACAAAGATGCATAAGACAAAATCCTTGCTCTGGGGGAGTTCACAAATGTGGATTCGTCAAGAACATTCTGGCCACCTTCTCAGCTATATTGTGCCTATAGGATCAGCTCCTCTGGGATGCTTCCCCTGATCCTCTCAGCTGGGTTTGGTGCCTCCTCTTGGCTCTGCAGGTCACATGGGGCCTTGAATGCCGCTGTACTGTAGCTAGCTGCTCCTGTATCTGCAGACCTGCCCCCAGCCTCTGGTCCCTGGAGGACAAGGTCACTTCTGGCCTACCCACATTGTCTCCAGTTC